CCCTCCCCTCCCCCTCCTTCCCCAATCCCGACTCCCGCTTCTCCCCCCGACTCCCACCCTTTCTTTCTTCCTCAATCCAGCTGCCCCCTCCTCCCCCACCCTTGCGATCCCGACGCTTCGGGTGCTGCTTCTCCTTCTCCCGCTGCTTCCCCTGCTCTTTCCCCCATTCCTCCTCCCGCTCCTTCTCCCGCTCGTCCTCGTGCTCCTCCCACTTCTCCTCCTCCTCCACCTATATCTCCTCCCCCTCCTCCGCCCCCCGTGCGTTCGTTAACCCCCTCCCCATTTCCCCTCCCGCTCCTCCTCCCGCTCCTTCTACCACCCCTCCTCCCGGGCCTCCTACGCCCCTTCTCGTTTGTCCTCGTGCTCCTTCTTCCGCTCCTAACCCCCTCCCCGTTTCCCCTGCTGCTCCTTTTCCAGCTCCTCCTCCCGCGGCTCCTTCGCCCCTTCGCATTTCCCCTCCCGCTCCTTCTCCCGCACCTGCTCCCAGCCTCCCGCTCCTCCTCCCACTCCTCCTTTTCCCGCTCCTTTTCCCATTCCTCCCGCTCCTCCCGCTCCTCCCGCTCCTCCTCCCGCTCCTCCTCCGCCAAACAACGTGACAAAGATCCCGCCATAGCCATCTCCTATGAAAAAAACAAAAGAAAAATGGCCCGCCACGTGGCTAACCGCGTGCGCGCACGAGAGAGAGAGAGAGAGAGAGAGAGAGAGAGAGAGAGAGAGAGAGAGAGATCCTACCCCTTAAGCGCGGTGGGCCCGTGGGGGGGATGTCGTGTTCCGCTGCGCGCCGGAATCGGCCCGAAGTTTTGATTCGGGCCGGCGGATGAAGGTGATCGAGGAAGGGGTGTTGTGCAGAGCGGCACGGGTACCGAATTGTTCACAGCGCGCCACTAAACAAGAGAGAGCGCCCACGGGGCCGGGTACACGGCGGGCGTCGATGCGCATCAATATCCGAACGCGCCCGCCGTCGGATAGCAAGAAAGAAGTGTCGTTTCGTGGCCTGGCCCCTTTTTTTTTCTTTTTTCTTTTTGAATTTGTATTCTTTTTGGAATTTGTTATTTATCTTTTTTTACTTTTAGTTTTTTTTTCCTCCTTCCGACGTGTCGTTTTGTCTTCTTTCGGCGCGGCCCGACCCTTTTTTTTTTAACGTTTTCGTTTTCGGCGCGTCGTTTCTTACTTTTTTGAAGTTTTTTCGTTTTTTTTTTGTATCGTGGTTATTTTCTTTTTGATTTTTTTCGTTTGTCTTTCTGTCTGTTTCGTGGTTGTTTTCTTTTCTTTTTTTTGGCCTCGGGCGGGAAAATGGAAAAAAGAAAAGTCGCGCCCACCCACACACACTCACTCCCGCCCACCACCCACACTCACTCACTCACTCACTCCC